AGAGAGAGAGAGAGACAATCGGCGCAAATGAAACGTAAGCGACTAAAAAAAAAAAAAATACAGTTGCAGTTTCACTCACCCATTTTCCTCGTTCTCAAACCAGAATCTGTCGGAGTCCCGCAAACGGAGGAACTGCTCCTTTATGACCGCGGTGAAGAGCTCGCCGGGAGCACCCTTGGACTCGAGCATCCCGCCGACGTAGACGTCGACGTTGTTGAGATTGTTCGAGTAAATCTCAATGAGGGTACGCAGCAGCGAGGGATTCTTGTTGAATAATTCCGGGTTGATCTCGTTCCACGTTTTTCGTTTGGGTAACTTCAAGCACATCCTGGCTGTATTGTAATCCGGTAGACCGTTGTCGCGGCCTCGCATGATGTTCAAGGCGCCGAGATCCCGGCGCGAGAATTCCATGGGGCCAAACAGATTGTTACGGATATCGGTACCGAGAAGGTTGTCCTCCTTCTCCGCCAGCTGCGACGCCATGCCCATGATCAGCTCCTCGATCGTGCTGTTAGCTAAAATCTCCTGCGAGCAGCATCTACATTTAATACGATCACAAGTTTCGCGAGGAAATTACATCAGGAATTTGAATAAATTAGATCACATGGAACATTTCCAAAATCTGGGATTACATTTCAATCCTAAAAAAAATCTTAACAAATTGAAGAAATCAATTTTTCTCGCTGTTGGAAAGAAAATTTGAGGAAAATTATCATTAATTATATAATCATTTAATCAAACTTCGTTCTGCAAGTTAAAAATATTGAGATATTAATATAATCTAAAATTATTAAAAAAATTAAATTTCATTTTCAAAACATTCAATAAAGCGTTGTTAATAATCGTTTAAAATTTATTTTGACCATCAATACGTATAAAATTTCAATGAACATAAAATGTACATATATGAAAAAATTGTTTCTGTTTAAGAAAAAAAAAAATGCGTTTCAAGAAGTTTAATGCGAGAAAGTAAATCTGTGTTGTAAATACACTCACGTTCGAATCCCACCACGTGGAGCAGAGTCTCATGGCTGGCTGGCCCGTGTTGGTCTTTCTGTATTCGCAATTTTCATCTCGTCGATATATACCCGGCGGTATGAGAGTGTGGCCGAAACGAAAAGCGGCGCTTTGAAAAATGTGGCTGATACCCGGATGTAAATCTGGCTTGTAACCAGTGTACGATGGCAGATTCTCGTTCAGCAACGCCGGAAGGTACTCGTAAAGGATTATATTCTGTCAGAAGAAGTAGAAAAATTTCACGCTTATAGGGATTAGTATTTCGCGAGCGGAAAGTTCAGCAAATTCAACAAAATCGGCACGGTTCTTGAAAAGTTTATTAATTATACACGAAGAAAACAGTTTCGCTAGCAAGTTTAAAAATTTGGCCAGGTCTAAAAATAAATTTGTCGGCCTTTAAAATTATTACGTCCAAATTGGTTTGCTAGAAGACAAAAAATGCTTGCAGTATCACATTTAAACGTGGCGCATAATAACATTTTTAATTACAACAAAATACAATAAAATTATCTTCAACAAAATTAAATGTCCAAATCTATATCTGCACAAAATTTTAGATTCCCCGGTAAAATTATTCTCTCCTCCTAGACAAATTCATTTTTACTTTTGTTCGTAACTTTTTCCACTACTAAGTAAATAAGCGGGTCTTTATCTTTATTTATTTATACATCTGAGGGAAAACTGTGGAGACGCGCGATTATCCACCTGAATCGTCCCGATGACCATCTGACGTGCCTTCTGAAAAATTTCCTCGTCGGACATGTCGGGACGTTCTCGCTGTATGCGTGCGGCTATGACATTGTGATATCGATAGAACAAGATCCCCAGGGCGAGCAACGGTGGGTGCTGATTCGTTCTCGGATCGCCTAGGACTGCGCAATATAATTAATTGTTACTTTCGCAAGAGTCAGAAAATTGATTGTAGGGAAAGTTAAAACCGCGCGACGCAATAGAATGGACACGAGCGCGTGCGGTTAATGCAAAAAATGTAAGTGTAATAAAAAAAGGAAAAAGAGCCACAGCGGATCGGCGCTCGGTAACTATCGCGGATAACAACATAATGCCTAATTAATGAGAACATTCCAATTATGTAAGTGTCGAACGATTACTGGAGCGAATATCCCGCGCGGAAACGTTGCGCGGAAAGATAGCGCTTTAATAACAAAGTGAATGACCGATAAAATTTGACTACCGTGAATTTACGCTTTTTTTATTTTCAATTAATAATTTTTATTTTCAATTAATAATTTTTATTTTCGATTAATAGGCGGAGTTAATTTTTCCTCGCCGCAAGAAAATCAAAACGTCAATATGCTTTAATCAGATAAGCAAACCGAAAGGAATATAAAAATATAAAATGTATGAAAAAAAAAAATAATAGAAATATAAATATACAAATAAAAGCTTCTCGCTGGTTAAACTTTTCAATTAATAACAAGCAGGAAAATCACTCCGACAGAATAATTCAAAACAAAACTTTTCTCGCATCTTGATCTTGATTCAACCGCTGGAATTAACTGGCGAATAAGAGGAGATGAGAAAAGTTACAGCGTGTAATTAAAAATCGGTTAGATAATATTCAGCTAGGCGGTGCGCGATTACGAATTCCTTGGGAAAGTCTGCGGGCTATTATTTATATGCTGAATTTATACACATGTAGATCTTCGCTTACGATATAAACGTTCCGGGCTCAGCATTCGCATAACGTGCGGCACCGCGTGATTGAAGAGGGGCGCGCGCATGGTGTTCCTCACAGGGAATTGTCTCGTCTGCTCCATGAGAAGACTGCCGTTCACGAATGCGCGCATCGTATTGGCCCACGCCTCGCTGCTCGAGTAGACGAAGCTGCCATCGATCCAGCTCGTGACTTTATTTATCTGCAATCTCACGTATATTCAGAGCTACTTCTCACGGATCTCCGAGATCTCGGCGGGGAGATCGGCGAAGCCGCCTTTAACCGCTCTCGACGAAGGAGGGAAAAGAAAAAGGGGAGGGGGGGGGGGAGAAAAAAATGAAAAAAGAAAAAGAAACACAGCGCGGAAAATGTGACGTCAGCGAGAGAACGAATTTATCGCGATGGAAAAGTCAGCGATCGTTAGATCGTTAGACGCGATTGTTTGAATTTAGAACGAGATCGATCCGGCGACGTCGGATTCGTCGGCGTCGTTATCATAAAATCCGGGGGAGGGGGGGGGGGGAAATCCGGATAAAGTCGAAAGTCTACCGTTCCCGGAAGTCTACGGCCCGCGGAGCGATTTCGCGGCGGCATTCGAGATTGACCCGAGTGCGCGTGCGCATGCGCGCGCGCGCGCGCGCGCGCGTCTCGAGAAAACCGGGAATTACCTGTTCCCGCGGACTGTTGGGGCTGCGCCCGGTTTGACGGTCGTAATCCGCACGTAGGAACGGAATGTACTTGTTACCTTGGCACTCCTTGTCGAAAACCGGATCGCACTTGTCCACGTCGATCCGATGAAATTCTATGGGGCAACCACTTTCGCTGGCCATGATTATCTCCGACGTGACCAGCTGTCCTGAAAAGATTCACCGTTCGAGGAAACCGTCGCGAGTCGCAAGTTCCGGCAGGGAGATCCACGGTATGTCGCGTGCGTTACACCCGGTACTATAAACTATAAACTGGTTTACGTAACATTGTCCGTCCGTTTCGCTACGAGGCGAGCTACGACGGCAGCGTTGATAGACAATTAAATGCGCCCGTCTATTCATACGCGTCCGGACAAACGGACAAATGGAGAGTTATGTACAGAGCGAGTGACACAATACGTGAAATAAAATCGTACCGAGAGACACATCGGTCGTGATAATTGACACGATCGATGATAATTTATGTACAATCAATTTATTACTGTATCGAAGATTTTTGTATTAGATCGATATATATTAATACATATATGTTTTATTGATGAGATTATTGGGTAGCAACATACATTGTCCACAAAGAAGATAAAACAGGCCAAGAACGAGGAAAAAGTTAGAAAAAATTTTTAAATTAGATTTATTCATGCAGAAAGAAAAAAATCTTATGCATAATTAATGCTGAGTTAAGAGTCTCGAATTTTTATGTAAATGGATTCATTCCTCCTTAATTACTAAATCACGAATTTATAAATATATCTTATTGTTACAACGGACGTTTTACATAAAGTGAAGCAAGGCTTAGGCTACGAAGTATGCTTTATCTCTAAAAGAATTCGATATTTCCGAGATATTAAACTTTTTTTTTTCTCCATCACGTTTCCCGATCTTGTACCAATGAGAAGTTTCTTACATTCGTGGTTCCCCTGCCACTTTTTTTCTTGACTCTATACTTATTATGCGTGATTATCCTCACCGAAAAAAGCGAACAACGCGGTTCGATTTTTCACCGATGGCAGACCATCGTCGCCTTGCATGAACAGGTCGCTGAGTTTCCGAGGGGATGGCCTGTCTTGACCGGCCATCGCGTATACGCCATCGGAATATGCCGCCGGGACCTTTCGGATTAGCCTGCTATCTACAGTGGTATATATAACCCGTATTAGGATAACTTTCCATGGAAAATTACCTTCGCTGCGTATGCAGATACACCGGCAAGATCGTCACTTTTCTGTCTCATCAGACACTTTTCTAAGATATATTTTCTGCGTTACCTCATGATTGATTAATTTTGACGACCTCCTTTACTTGAACCTTATCCTTGACGATAATACTGACGAAAATACGAGATGCGTTTAACTGCGGAGACCTATCACTTTCGTGTAACTTGTAATAACTTGTAAATTGTAATTATTTATAATTGCAGTGTCATCGGAATCGCTTGAGAGAAGTCGTGTTTCTTATGAAAATGTTGCAAAAAATCACATGAACACCACCAGATTAATGTATGTTCATTAATGTTTTGATTTTTTTTTTTTAATAAACAATTAAGTGAAATTCTAGCAATGAGATTCTAATAATTCGTTAAAATGTTTCGAAATGCCTTCGTTAGCTAATTTATTTAGTAAAAAGTAAAACATGTGAATTTTCATAAAGTGACGTATGTATAATGACAAAACAGCGAAGGTATTTGAATCTTATTAATTCGCACACAGATTCGAGTACTTGCCTATCGCACCCCAATCGGGATGAGCCAAATTATTATAAAACCCATCGTATCTCTGTTTGTTGTCCGCATAGTTCTCTCTATGTCCTGCTCCTAAAAAATAAGTCCCCTATGTAAACCTGACTTTGGAAATTTGAATTTTACAACATCGATATTGAAGAAATAATTAATTACCCACGATATTGCCATCGTTAAATCGTAAAAGAATTTATAATCGTCGGATGTGCGATCTCGCATTCTTAATAATAGAAAAACATGTGACTGAAGCGAATCTGTTTCGAGTATTTGTATAATTAGGATGCCGAAGATATTTAGGACAATATAACGTAGTCATAGCCGAAAGTGGATCAAAAATGTAAAACGAGTTTAACGAACTGGATCTACCGTTAATTAATTTTCTATCTATCTTGCATTTTTCGACTTTTTTCCCAACTTTTGTAAGTAAAAAGTTTTTTATATCGGATATTTTTTTAAGTTGATTCATTAAATTTACCTAAGAAATAATTTAGATATTACGTGCACACAATTTATAGTTTACAAGAGATAATAAACGCTTAGAATATAAAAAATATATATAAATGATCCCTTTAAAATCATTTGCAGAATAATTCTTAAGTCTGCTGTCAGATTAATTTTTTTTTATTTTTATAGTATCGGTATTAGATGATGTAACATGATCGAAGCGGAAGCTTTAAAGATATACTGAAATGGAATTCTTAACATTTCAAGCAAGTTTCGACAGTCGCCTTTTACAAACAAGACTGCGAGCACTTTAGGTGCAGGAGGCGATAACGACGATTGTACCTACCGGTTTCAGCGGGTAACACGACCCAGAACACCCAGGCGATCGCGCAGAGCGACGCGACGCTGCGGGCCGGCGGTCGTCGTCGTGTCATCGTGTGTCACTCGGTCTCGCCTGGTCCACGCCCGTGCATCTCCCTCATGCCAGGCAAGAGAAAGAAAGAGAGAGAGAGAGAGAGAGAGAGAGAGAGAGAGAGAGAGAGAGAAGAAGAGAG